GGTATTAAAATAGGTGATTTGGATGGGTTAAAGTGGGTAATGAATATAAGTGAGTCAACTCATTTATACTCATTTTGGGTATAAATGGGTAAGTCAAAAAATGAGTTGGGTAACCCAATTATCCATTTACAACCCATTTATTCTAACTTTTTACAAACTTGTCTAAATTTATTTTGTAAGCTAAATTATATATTTATATCACCCTTTGCAGTTTGCACCCATCATTAATTTTAAATATTTACTTGTAATGCTAAATAAGTCTAATTATCATTTTTCCCCATTTGTGTTGTGACGCCCCGAAAGAATGAGTGTGAGAACCAAAAATTTTTATATATTTTCTAGACATTATTTTGTTTCCTTGTCTATAATTTTATACCTTTCTTCAATAGATTAATTTCCTATATATTTTTATAAGGGAATATAGTTTTCAAATCATTTCCTTGATACAAGTTAGTCCACGTTAAGTTTGAAGTGTATATCGGATGTGAGACCCACTAGTGTGGTAAGTTCGATAAATTCGGCCAACTAGATTAAGTTTTGTATACTGGGTTTAATTTATCAGGTATTAAGAGATAATTAGAGGTGACCTGGATGGATTATCATTGGAGAGACAAGAAGATAAGAATAACTTAAGAAGGTGCCAAGTGTCATGACCCTATTGCAAGTTGGACTTTGACTAATTTTCATCACCTTTACTAAACCTCAAAATTGACCAAAAATAATCTTCATTTCCTTCACTCCTTTGGCCGGCCATCTCAACAAGAAAAGAAAAGAAAACTCTCAACACTCTTGCTCTCAATCTTGCTCAATCTAGCAAATCCAACCGATTAAACTTCCAATTTCTCCATAAAAACCCTTAGTTTAGTAGTAGTAAGGTTGTTGGTGAAGTGGTTTGGAAGAAAGTGGTGCTAAGTTGCTTCCTTTCTTGAGGTTGCAAGGTGAGTAGCTAGGGAATTCTTTCTTTGGTCTTGATAATATGGAATTAATGACTTGTGTTGGTTCAATATGTGATTTTGTGGAAGACTTCATGGTTTAAGTAGTGTTTGTTAAATTTCTTATTTAATGGAGATTTTTCTGATTTTATATGATGATCATGGTTTAATCATGATATGATGGCTTGTAATGGTGTAAAATGAAGCTTATATATGTTAGTTACGATTGGTTGCCGAAAATTTCAGTTTTGTGCGGAAGTTTCAGCTTTAGGGTTCCAATTTTCCCTGTTCTGTCCGGCTTTATTCGAGCATGTTAGAGGCCGAATCAGGCTTAGGTTAAAACATGAAAGTTGTATAAACTGGTGTTAACTAGCTGCCTACAAAATTTCAACTCAATCGGAGTACTGTATCATGTGAAATGACCGAAATACCCTTGACTGCCCATGAACCCTGTTTTGCGGACAGATTTCTGTTTTCGTGGAGTTTCCCATTTTTCACCATGAAAATGTATGATTTGGCTTTGGAGGTCTTCATAAGAAATGTAGGTATATGTTTTGGCTTCGAAACGCCATAAGATTTGTTTCAATCTGATAAGGGTAGCTTCAGTTATGGGGATTGTGCCGAAAAGTGTATTTGATAGTTTATGATGTGTATGTGGTTAATTTGAGATGAATTGGTGTTGCTTGTAGGATGGAAAAGTAAGGAAATTAAGGGGATATACTGTCCGATCTTTGAAAGCATTTGATTGCTTTGAGTTTGAGTTGAAGGGCTTGGACTTGAGCAAGGCGATGATATATGATGGATGGTTCCTGAGCTGTGATTGGTGAGTGACCCCAAACTATTTCTAAAGCTACTTATGAACTGTTTTTTGCATTATTTACTCGATTGCATATCATGTGTATTTGCATGTGAGTTCATGACATGTTTTGGCTCAAAGGAGTACTTGGAATTCGTGTGCTTAGAACCAATGTCTCCACTACTGTTTATCTAGAGCAAATGGCTCCCTATCACTATTTCCCTGTTAACTGATCAACTTGAGCATTATACATCTAAGTACCATGATTTCACTGGCTCACGAGAGCAATAAACGTACGTTTGATTACTGATTCATGACATCATTGAAATGAACTATTATGAAACTGATTTGATTACTGATTTACTGGTTACTCACTGAGCTTCTAGCTCACCCCAAAAAATATTTTATTCCCCTCCATAGGGCTCGAGGCGAAGGAAGGGCTTGTAGTACTTATTCACGTGACTGGATGGCATATATCTTGTACAGTTTAGATTTGGATTCATTTTGTGTAATAGTTGGCTAGTGTGACTGTATGGAATTGAAGTGGATGTATGTGTGCGTTCCACGCTTAGAATTAGTTTCCGCTTCACTTATGATATGTAATTCTTGGGGAATTTGATGTAATATTTGAGATTTATATTGTAATTTGTTTGAGAACTGTAGTGAGTGACTTAGTCCCGGCGAAAGTTGGGCAGGCGGTCCGCTGAACCCTTTGGTTCGCTTTAGCGGAAGGTGGGGCTGTCACATGTGTGCTATGTCGTAAAATTACATACTATTTAATAATTGAACAATAAAATATATTTTGCTGTGTAATATGGAAAGGATTTGGAACCATGAAAAAGAGAGATTAAATAATGATTAACCAACTTATGAACTTGAAACTGGATACCAATAATATACAAATGAAAATAGGATAGAAAAATCTCCAAATGTATAATTATTCTTTAACTTTAAATTAAAAACTGGCCAAGAGATTCTCCCATCTTTTGGTTAGGTTCTTCACTTTTTGACGCTAACTTTGGTCAAAGGTGATGAAGAAATTAGGATATTATTGCTAAAGACAATTCTAAATGGATTAATTTGATTTAATGAATTACCCAATTATATCCATTTAATCTATTAAATAGGTATTATTGGATAATCCATTTATACTCATATATAAAATCTTAAAATACCTATACTCTCTATTCATGGACGGGTATGGATAAATTTATTTAAATGGATTTGTTCGACACCATGCCCATGAACAGTGCTTTAAAATTAAGCGGATTCAGTTAAAAATTTTGTAAACCGTTAGATAAAAGCTTTATGGTGAAACCGGCTATGCATTTGAGTACTTCAAAAAGATATTCAAATCTCATTAATTGTAGAGATTCCTACATTTGTGTCCATCGTTTAAGAAAATCATGATTTTATTAATTATTTCTTTGTCTGTAAAGTCTTTGTTTCAATGGGTTAGGTTGCTGTAATGTTCTGTGCACTTAAACAATGGAAGCCACTAGCAATTTTTGCCTGTTTAGTTGGCTTTTAAAAGGCAAATTTTGGCACTTCCTCCCGAGGTTTGCTTAATTAGGCCATATATCGCTGCTCAATTAATATACTAGCCCATTGTATCCACACTACTCTATTCTAGCTACGCACAAAAAAGATGCGACCATCGTTTAGAATGTCATGTTATAATAACAACAACTAGACTCTTTAAGGAAATCGAGCCATTTCATGCGTAGTCTCAATCTGTCATCGATCGATTCTGCCCAATAATTCATGTCATTCTTTATTTACCAACCCCAACCCCCCCACCCCCCCCCCCCCCCCCCCCAAAAAAAAGACAAGAAAATACATATGGTTTACCAGTATCAAAAGTGGCTGTGACCACCAGGGGCGGGGAGCAGCCCAGGAAAGCAAAGTAGCAAAAACACCCACAAATTACAATTCACTTCAACATCTCAAATTATAAAAGCCATTTCGTGGATGGTGTCTCATCCCATCCTTTCTTTTCCTGCGCTGAGGGGTGCTAGCGGTAGTGGGCATGCACTTTTACAACACAATGTTGGCTTCTCCCTGCACATTATTATGGTTTCAAGTGAGATTTGTAGCATAAAAGGAGAGTTATAGAGAGTGTTTCATGCACGGCCTACGAGATTGTAGAGTTCATGCATGATTAACAATGCAATCAAATCCAATCTCCTTTAAAAGTTGCTTTTGGGGTCATATTTTATAGAATATATTTGTCAATTTCACCTACCAAAAAGTAGCATTGTAATGATGTAAAATTCATCAATTTGATTAATCTTTATCTTGCCTCTATGACCAGTTCTTGGACTGATGTTTTGAAATGGATTTGCGAATAATAATCGGTGCAAGCTGTGCTATTTCCAAACTTCTTGATTGCTCTATTTACACCTCATGTTTCAACTAGTGAAATTAGAAATAAAAAAAAAAAGTCATCTAGAAATTCATATTTGGATTATAGCTCGTTATGTATGCCATTTCGTTAATAATGGCTTTCTTGAAGGTAATGAAACGAAATATACATCAACCCCTGAAAAGATTTCCTATGCATGAACTTGAAACAGAGCTTTTATGCTCCACACCACCTCACAATATTTCTTCAGATTACTGCCCCTTTATATCTTTATCTCCATGGAGATGGAACTCTCAAAAAGGTTACCCTTTGTCCTTTTCTTAAGGACTCTCTCTCTCGCTCTTTTTTTTATTGTTAATTAATTTTATTTTTCAGTTCTATCCGACCCAGAAAGTAGTGGCCCGGGTTGGCCAGTTAACAAGTCCACCACAACATGCAGGCCGTTTGAAGGGCTACTTCTTTGAAATTGGAAGCCCAAGTCACACAAGAAATTCCGACAACCCAGGCAACAGCCTTTACTACGTAGGCTGTCTTTTGGCGGTTATTCTGCGACCAAGTTCTCTCTTTTTCGCGTCTTCTTTGAACACAAGCTGTTTTTCGATCAACTAAATAATCATCTGCCAACTTCCATTACAAAATTTTCCTCAAATTAGATACCTTACCAACTTCTCCAAAAATGCCTAGCTTGTCGGAACCAATATCAGATTCAAGTTCTCATGACGAAATTTGTGCTGTCAAAATCTAATATATATCCTAGACAATACTGCAGAGCCTCTCAGATGATGGTTTAGTCTTGAATCATTTTCTAACCTCACATTGTCATCCCCGTTGTAGCACCCTGAATTCATCTTCTATAGAGAGTCTTGGGGGCTACCCCTGGCAGCTTGGCATTGCGTTCTCATAAAAAATGCAGGGTTCCAGCTGCTTCATCCTTTCTCTCCTCCTATTTTCTCCCATAGTATCTTCACTTTCTTCTGCACTTTCGGACGAAGAAGCATCAGTAATTGCTGAGGGCCAATTCTCAACCCTTCCTGAAAATGGCACTTACCTGATGATTTTGAGTTTAATGTAGACGTTAAAGTTGAATGTCCCAATCCAAAGGCTTCGACGTGCCTACATTGCGCTCCAAGCTTGGAAAAATGCCATACATTCTGATCCTTCAAATTTTACAGGCAATTGGAAGGACCTGATGTTTGCAGCTACAATGGTGTATTTTGCGCAACTGCCCTTGATGATCCAAATACAACAGTTGTAACCGGCGTCGATCTCAACCATGCTGATATTGCAGGCTACCTTCCTGTTGAATTGGGATTGTTGAAAGATGTAGCTCTTCTTCATCTGAATTCCAATCGTTTTTGTGGGATTGTTCCCAAAAGTCTGTCCAAGCTCGCATTATTGCATGAGTTGGACATAAGCAACAACAGATTTGTCGGCCCTTTCCCTAAATCAGTCCTTTCGACGCCTAGGCTTAAGTACTCCACATCAGGTTCAACAATTTTGAGGGAGAGCTACCTCCTCGACTTTTTGACAAAGATCTTGATGCATTATTCCTGAATAATAATTGGTTCAATTCACATATTCCTGAGAATCTCGGGAAATCTCCAGTTCTGTGGTGGTATTTGCAAATAACAAGTTCAAAGGCTGCATTCCGTCTAGCATTGGTAACATGACAAACACCTTGGATGAAATTATATTCTTGAAGAATGAACTTTCAGGTGTTTGCCATCAGAAATCGGACAGCTGAGGAATACAACTGTCGTCGATGTTTCATTCAATTCATTCTCTGGCATCCTGCCGAGGACATTCAGTGGCCTTGAAAAGGTCGAGTTCTTGGATCTTTCTCACAATATGTTGACAGGCTTTGTTTCTGATGCCGTTAGCCAGTTGCCAAGTTTGTCAAACTTCTCATTTGCATACAACTACTTCAACGGAGAGGAAAAGCCTGCGTGCCAAATTCTAGGAAAGATATTCCAGTGGATGATACAAGCAACTGTTTGCCAGACAGACCGAAACAAAAGTCCAGAAAGAATGCAATCCTGTGGTGAGCAAGCCGGTTGATTGTAGCAAGGCCAAATGTGGTGCGTCAAAACCTTCGCATAAAGAAAGCCCCGCTGGAGGTCTAAGCCGCCAAAACCACAGCCTAAACCATCACCAAATCCACCAAAATCGCCTCAACCAAAGCCTAATCCTCCGCCAGTCGTAAAGCCACAACCTCAAAATCAGCCCTCATCCTCCACCCGTTGCAAAACCACAGCCTCCAAAATTATCCCCTCATCCTCCACCAGTTGCAAAGCCACAACCTCCAAATACTCCGTTACAATGCCATCACCCGTCGTTCATTCTCCTCCACTACCAGTCTCCTCCCCACCCCCTCCCATTTTCTCCCCACACCACCACCAGTAGTAGTCACTCCCCACCTCCTCCAATCTATTCCCCCCACCACCCGTCTTACATTCCCCACCCCTGGTAGTCCACCCGTCTTACATCCCCATCCCCCACCCTGGTAGTCCACCCCCCACCACCTGTGGTCCACTCTCCACCCCCTCCAACTTATTCCCACCACAACCCGTTGTTCACTCTCCTCCCCCACCACCTGGTGACTACTCTCCACCACTACCCGTTTCCTCTCCTCCTCCTCCGCCACCTCCATATCAAGATGTTGTACTTCCGCCAACTACTGGTGCCGTCTATGCATCACCACCTCCACCAATATTTCCGGGATATTAGCTGATACTAATAAACTGATGGGTTTTACTTAAATTACCAGTAACACCACCAGTTTTGCTAACCAATAGCACTAGTAGTTATTAGAAGAAACAGAGGGATTAATTTTACCAATTCAAAGTGGTATTTTGGTCGCGTTCCTATGATTCAGGATACGAAATGTAAATTGTATACTACCTATTACAACTGTAAATAGACAAATCAATTAAACCCAGGATGGCCTGGTGTTGTGGTATGAACCTGATGATTCACTACTGTTTCACGTAGTCAACAGATTTGCTTACTTTTAGATTATCATATTTTGTCTTATAACTAGTTAAAGAATGTCAGTTATCCACTTATCCTGCCCAGAATGTCCGGTTGTATTTCATCTATCAGGTTTTGGCAGTTCTCTAAAAACGGTGCAAACAAATGCAGAGCATTTTGGAAATGGAAGACTGATTGATTCTTTCTTGTATTGTTGTTTTGGTGGTTCAGTTTATTGTCTGCAGTTCAGAACTGGCATAATGCAGACATAAGTACATGACAATAAGACTTTGATACTTCAACTTCAACAAACCGGGCAAAAGGATCCTCAATAATTCCATTTTTTGCAAAAGGAAGTAAATGGAGCAGGCTGCCAGTAACGAGGGGTCGGGCCCAACAAAATGAAGACTGAAAGCAAAAGCATGTCAGTCCTAGGCCCCAAATGACTTGAATTAGAGAAGGCACAATTAATTAAAATGAACTCATTTAAAGTGCAAAAGTTTAATGTAATAACTGGATTAAAAGCTAATGAGTGGTAAAATTAACTTTAAGTGCAAAACTTATTCTAACAAGCAGACTAGAAGCTCCTACAGTATATTCTATGAGCCGTATGAGTAATGTTGCTAAATCTGGTTATAATTGATACATTGGTTAATTTAGTAATATTGTTAGAAGCTCAATATTTATTCATGATAAATTGCCTTTTGCGCCATTTGTGTTTATCTGAAAGTAAATACATTTTTTTAGCATTCGGTGTTTAATAATTGACCTATTGATATTTTGTATGCAAAGCAATACATGATTTTGTTTAGTATTAGGTGTACAATAATTAACCTATTGATATTTCGTATGCAAAGCAATATTTGATGAATTTAATTGTGTACTTATATCATAACCCATTGATGAGCAAAATCTTTCAACGTTTTAAAATACAAATAACTTTCTTGCAAAGTAATACATACAAATAGTACTATTATTGAGATTTCTTTATTGAATAATTTAATACTAGCAAACACACCGTTTCACAACTAGAAACCATAAAGCAAACAAGAGATGTAATTCCAGATTGAGGAGATGACTGACCTACAATCTATATCTATATAAATTTGATAAGGGATTTTCAGCAACAAGCCTCCACACATTTTTCCACTCCCGATTCTATGTTTCTAGTATTTCACATTTAATTTAATTTATAAGATACATTTCTCATAACTTCCGCATCTACTCTTCACATTTGAAATTGTTGGTTATTTTTTAAAATGATTTCATTTCAAATCGTTAGTTAATGTGCATGTACATGTTGTCCTATTTGAACTTCAACTCATCTCATTTCCCAATTGCCATGTGTTATTTGCGATTATACTCCAACTAAGACTTCTATAAGACCATAATAGGAGGTAACAAATATAACATCTTTTCATGCTTTTTTAATTTAAATAAGCAAGGGAGAATGTTATTTACACTCCCATTTTTTGTTATTCACACTCCCATAATCCTTTTGATCATATATTTTTCATTAATTAGACTATATGATAAAATAAATGGTGAGCATGCAAAGAATAAAAAAAGAAGTGCAAGTAACATTTTCCTAAGTAAGAAGTGTCTTTCATACCTTTTTAATTTAAATAAATAAGAAGTAATTCCACTTATATAAGAATTTGGTTTGAAATTTATTAATTGGAGGGTAACTAAAGAGAAAATATTGCCAAACTTAGTAAAAGTAAAAAAAGTAAATGACAATATTTTATCTTTTAACTTAGTAATCATAAGTAAAAGGGCAAAATTAAACAGAAAATAAAAAGGAAATAATATTCATTAGTTGTGGTTTTAAAAAATCAAGGATTATACTATTCATGAAATCTAAATTATGAAATCACTAAATAAAAAAAAATAAAGTACTACTAGTCTTTTAACGTAGAAATTTTTATTTGAAATATTCATTTTGATAAAAATAATGATAATAACAACACCAATTCTACCAGAAATTTAAAAAAAAATTAATATTGCATTTTAAGAGAAAGCCATAGAACATTCGACCCTAAAATACTACTTAATTTGTATATACTTGACCCAAATTTGACCGTGATTAAATTTGGATAAGAGTGCAAAATCCAAACAGTAACGATAATTTGGGATATCATTAATTATTTTATGTATTCTTATTGCTATCTTCATATGTAAATATATAGTTGCTATGACATATATATATATATATATATGCTATATATATTGATTGTAGTAGTTGAGGGTATTATAGATAGTATCAGTTTTTCATTTACATTTTTAGATGTTAATAATTGCAACCATTGTAATCAATTATCAGTTTTACATTTTCATTATGGTAGGTAAAATAAAATATTGGGTAGTATGGATATGAATCTAGAGGTTGGGGGAGGGGGAGAAGGGAATGGTGAGGAGTTGAAAAGTGGCAGAAAAAGTTGAAAAAGAAATATGAGTTACAAGCGGAGAAATGCAAGAAGAAGAAAGGGGATTGTAAGGATATAATAGAGATGACAAAAACAATAATAGATAGAGTGGCACCATGATATGAGGTATGAAAGTGGTAGGAGACAGCTGATGGCCAGCTGGCGGATAAGAGACGAGGGAAAGGATATTGATTTTTAATAATTTTGAAAACTCCGAAAACACGTATTATAGAGATTTTTTTAAATCTACGTTAAAGTTTATGAAATATACTAATCTACATGCAGTCAACAATTTTAGGGGCACAAGATAAGAGATTTTTTTTTTCTAAAAATCGAATATGGGGTATAACATAATTTTTTTTGTCGGATATTGATAAATTTTTTTTTTTTAGAAAATTGTTCTCATGTTACCACCCAACCTAACCCTCTCCTTAAATGCATTAACAATTCCTCTATCATATAAATCATTATAAATTAGATTTTTTAACATGTTAAGCACACACTTCTTTAAATTTTTTAATTTATATATATATATATAATTCTATATCACACTATATAAATATATATAATATTTTTTTAATTTGAAATATAAGTCCGTGCATAGCACGGGTTAAAATGCTAGTAAAAGGAAAATGGAACTCGTAATTCCATTCTCTAAGACGAACTAAAGAGACATCTCTAAGCAGCCAAGGCAAGAAGAGTGCCAATAGTCTCCATGTTGGAAAAAGTCTAAAAAATAGTCAATACCAAGTTCTTGGTTTTAACCTTTAGCAATGAGGCGTGGTTTTTAACGATCAAAACTACCGTCAAATTTCAACTTCACATAGTATACCCTACCCACTGACTGCAAATCAGCTGTTGGTAGTAGAGGAAGAAGGAAGATCCCATGTATACCAGCATCTAACTCGACATGTACAAGTATCATCGGCCGGTGAAAGGAAAACATATATATATATATATATATATATATATATATATATATATATATATATATATATATATATATATATATATATATATACTAGGGGAGTGTCCGCGCATCGCGCGGGTGTTTGGTCCTTGTGGGAAAGGAGGTTTTTTTTTGAACAAACAATAGTACATTGTGAGAAAAAATAAAACTTAGTATGAAAAGATAAACTATATAATCAATCAATTCACACAGCGTTACAATAAAACTATGTCAAATTGAAAGTCGTTGATAATGTAGAAATGCAGAGCAACACAGAAAGCTAATCTTATTCCAGAATCTCCATCGAGAGCTCTTACTTGCTATTGTTGCAAACCTAAAAGATTATAACCAACCTAGACCAATTGGGGTTAGGCAACGCGATAAGAGTCGCTAATTGTAGGTACTAAGAACACACCGACAAAATTAAAGGAGGAACTGAAAAATTGGGGGGTGAAATCTAACCTCACGCTGAAGCACCAGGAGTAGTTGGGACTGAAGAGCATTCTGAGCTATTAGTATGAAGCCAGGTAGAATTATCCCAATTCTAAAATGCGAATAGGGAGAAACTGATAATCAACCGTTTAGGCATTAACATTAGGGGTGGCAATTTCCGACACGACCTGAAAACATGATACGAACCTAACACGAAATTAATGGATTTGGGTTGAGGTTTCACGGATTCGGGTCAGAATAGGTCGAACCCGATGGATCCGAAAAATGGGTCGAATTCGGGTCAACCCGTGGGTGACCTGATATGACCCGATAACCAGTTTTATGAATTAAAAATAATTTAATAAACATAAAAATTATTTTTATCTAACTAAACTAAGTTATTCTTTTTTTTCCAAAGGCATTAAT